TAAAAAAAGAAAAAGAAAGAAAAGAAAAGAATAATAAACTAAAGGGAATGGCTACTTGCTGCTTTGAGGAATCTACCTAATTCAGTTCAGTGTACAGTACAGTGTAATTCAGGAGTCAGGAAAGGCTGCACTTGAAAATAAAAACTATATGACCATCTGTGCAGCATAATCCCTGAAGCAAAATAGTTATTAGTTAATTGTTCTTTATTCTCCCCACTCCTCACTCTCACTTTGAACAGAAACCTTGAAGCAATAAGGAAAATTTGCAATTACTTGAGTTAGCTTGAGAACACATTTTGGGGGCAAGTTATTTTTCAACCCTCAGTGAAAGGCCAAATTTAGTGATAAATATTTTCTCCAATTAAAAAATGCTGCCTCTTGCCTCACAAATGTAAGGACACAAGTTTGATCCCTAATACAAAAAAAAATGCTTATATATACTTAACAACATAAAGATTACACATATATTGCTCCTTTTATAGAGGTTGATATTTCTATGCTTTCAATATATCTGTTTTGGATTCTCCAGTATCTGGATCCATCAGTTTTTATCTCTTAGCTACAGTCACTTGTAGGTGGCTCCAGTGTACATATTCCAGTGTTGTACACAGGTAGGCATACATACGTGAAGGCATGGATGCTCACTTCTGTGTAAACTTATGATTTGTGGTTAATTCTTGTTCCCCCAATTTGAACAATTGAATTTAGTTTCTGCTACTTCTTACTCAGCAGCTATTCTTCTACACTAGAAAGGAGATAAAGTAGTGAAGAAAAGTGTGGAGGTGAAGCAGATCTGTAGTGTCACTTTTTGTTTTTCTGCAGAGAACATTGCTTGGATTCTGGGAGAAAACAGCTCGAATGATGTCCCAAATCCATGAGGCCTGTATTGGCTTTCATCCATACGATTTTGTAGCTTTCAAGGTATACTTTTCCCCATGTTTTCTTGCATAGCTATATTATACTTCATTTAAAACTACTTTTTGGGGCTGGGGATTTAGCTCAGCGGTTCGGTGGCCTGCCTTGCAAACACAAGGACCCAAGTTCAATCCCTGGTACCAAGGAAAAAAAAACAAACTACTTTTTGGGGCCTGGGATTTAGCTCAGTGGTGCCACCACCTGCCTTGCAAGCACAAGGTCCTGAGTTCAATCCCTGGTACCAAAAAGTTAACAAAACAAAAGAAAAAAATACTTTTGAACATTGAAATATAACATTAAAAACTATTTTCTGTAAGTTTATTTTAAAAAAACATTGGGAAGCATTTTTTTGTACTCCTTCAGCCAAGGATCAACATTGCTTGATTCTAAACACTGCCAATAACACTAAAAACCAAGGTAATGCTGCTTGCAGGCTCAAAATATTAGTAGGATATTGTAAAAAGGGGATATGAGAACAAAATTAAAATATAAATGAATATAAAAGCCAATGGATACTGCCTGCCTCGCAAGCTCAAGGATTTCAATCACTGGTACCAAAAAATAAATTAATAAAAAAGAAAAGGCTATGGAAAGGATAAACATAGAAAAGCAATGGAAAATGGTTGTGTATTCTCAAAACTGGACAGACTTAATTACCTTACAATTTCAGAAGTTAAAAAAATTTCCTGTTTTACTTCTACATGATCTCATAGATGTGATTCATGATACCCAAGTTACATCAGCTGTGTCCATTGTGCAAGGTTTGGCAAAAATATAAAGTGTATTTTATATTAAAATTTTATTATAGTAAAAGGCACATTTCCATTAATCCTCTTCAAACTATTCCCCCTTTAAGCACATATATCCTATTCTTGCTACTTTCTCAAGCAGTTTTGGAAATCTTCTTTCATGAGTGTCTACAAAGTATAATCAGAAATGCAGTGAGTGCTGCTGCTGAGTGCCATCCAGTGGAAAAGCAGGCTTATAAAAATATTATGGCCTGTCCTCATTCTCTTTATGTACCAGATCTGACACTGTGCAACTTCTGGCTCTTCCTGGAAGTCATGGTCAGAATGACTGTGATTTAGGACATCACGGCAGCCACGTCAGTGCATCTATAGATGTTCATGAGAAAGCACTTCTAGAACTTCTTCAGAAAGTGACAAGAATCATTGTACAAGTGTGTTCTGGGGGCGGGGGCTGGGCATGGTTCACTCACCTGTAATCCCAGTACTTGTGAGGCTGAGGCAGGAGGATTACCAATGCTTTCAAGGCCAGCCTAGACACAGTGAGACCCAGTCTCAAAAAACTGAAGAAAAAAAAAAAGTGAGGGGGAGTATATTGATGGAGATTAATGACACTGTGTCTTTTAATGTAATTTTATTTTGTAATTTAAATATTCACCATAGTTTTTGATCCCATCTTGTATACTATATATAGTGTATGATTATAGGTAAAGAAGTTAACATGTTAGATTGATACTTCTTGTAGCAGTTAATATGATAGGTGCTCTTTGGCTATGATTATATTGCTTTTGACATTTCTATATCTTCCAGTTACCTTCTTTACAAATTTATATCCAGCAGAGTTGTACCATGATAGTCCTTTCTTCAGTTCTTATAGGTTCGATTTCAGATTTTTTAACTTAGCAATTCTGCCTTATTTTCAGCAGAGCTTGAAAATATTACTGGTGAAATCCCCAAAGGTAGATGTGGGATATGTAATGAAGTTATATCTTGCAACCATATATTACTGGGCTTTGGGATAAAATTTTAAGTTATCTTCTGACATGGCATCTTCCAGTCCAAAAGATGGCCCTTGAATTAGTTTAGTATTTTGTTTGTTTACCTTTACTTTTCCTATAATGAATGCTTTACTGAATTTCTGTATTTAGGCAAATTTTATATTTAATTTCTGCTCAGATTTGAAGCTGAAAAATCTTTAGTAGCATTTAGAGCACTGCAATAGGCTAGCAATACAGTTTAAATCTCTGTAGGCCTGTCATAAAGTGGTTAAACCAACTGTCTATAGCCCACATCGCAGTTCCACAGACAGCCGTGATAAACAGGTATAGTATGGGGCTCAGTTTGGACTACATTAGCACACATTCCCCACATCTGTCACCCTTGAGTTCAGAGCTATTCCCATTTTATATTGTTCTTTAGAATTCTTATTTTCATTTTATTTGCAGAGAGAGGGAGAAACATTCTTTCTCTCTACTTAACACTGAATTTCTTATCCTTAGCAACTACAAGACACTCCAAGCAAACTTACTGAAGACAACAAAGAACAAATAGAAGGCACTTTTCTTACTGAAAATCTCAATAAGTAAGCAGGCAAACACTACATACTTTATTGTGGAAGTCCTGGATACCAACCTATGATATATGTGCAAATAATTATTTCTTTTCTTATTCACTGAATCTCTGTTATTTTCCCAAACAAAATTAAACATTTGTTTGAGGTGATATATGCATATCCCTTTTCCTTCAATTCTTTTTTGTTCCATATATATATATATATATATATACTGTATATATTTCCTTTTTTTTTTTTTTGGTACTGGTGATCAAACTAGGGTCCTTGCACTTACAAGGCAGGTGGCAGCACCGAGTTAAACCCCTGGCCCTATATTTCCATTTTTAAATGGCAGGAAAAGGAGATGACAAGGGCACCAAACAAGCTGGGGTGATTACTTCAGGTTCTGTCATTTGGGAGACAGAACTTATAGTAAGAGCCACCGATGCCTCTAGTGATGCCCAGAAGGGCAGCAGGAGAGAAGCAAGGGATGAGGACCTGCATCTGTGAGGTAGGCCATTTAAAATCCATTTCTGGACAGTGCAGATGAGTCCCGGACTGGTTAAAAACAGTCTTTGCTGCATCTTTCCTTCATGTTGCCTGTTTCTCTTTATTACATCTTCCCTTTGTTTCCCTCTCAGAGCTGCCACTTAATTTTTATGAGATTGACTCAAGATAACAGCAAACTCAGAAATAAGGCCCAATCATTTAAAAATCATGCTTTTTTGAGTCATCCTAATTGTCATCCTTATTATAAAGCATTTCCCTATTTTTTCTATGGGAAATCCAAACAAATTTTTGCCTAATTGAATATATAAATGTTTTAGTACATTTATCAAATGTCTAGTTATAAATTAAACTTATCTTCATTATATTTTCGTAGGGTTTTTTTTCTTTGTGGTACTGGGGATCGAACTCAGGTCCTTACACTTGCAAGGCAGGCACCAGAACCACTGAGCTAAATCCCCAGCCCTTATCTTCATTATATATTGACACTTAAAATCATATGCTAAGTGAAATATATTCATTTAGTAATTTTTGTACATTCTCACATTTCATAGAAGCTTTATTTAAAACAATCTTCAAGATTATGAGAGCTACGTTTTGGATTAATTAACAGATTCCTAAGCAATTTACCTTTTCTTCCATGTAAGTCATTAAATGGAGTACTGTTCTGCTATAAAGATAAACTGGAGTATTCATAGGTAACTTGGATATAACTTGAGACCATAATATTAAGTGAAAAAAGTCAGGCACACAAGTTTAAATGATGCATGGTTTCTCTTATATGAGAAATTCAAATATATATAGATGGCTAGATAGACACATAGAACAAAATAGAAGGTAAATAGGAAGTAAAGAGATCTTGTTCAAATGGAGGGGAAAGGATGGGAGGGGAAAGGAATGGAAAAGAAAATAATTGAAGGAAAAATGATGAAAATCGAGCTTTTGCAAATGGAAAGGGGCCAAGAGTTGGAACAGGGAGGGAGAGAAGGGATAAGGGACAAAAACAAAGAAGTTGTATTATGTATATGTACCAAGTCCTCACAATAAATTTAATTGTTATATACTACAAACATGTACTAATAGAAGAACCGTATATATAAAATACTGCCATTGGAAATCCCATTTAATTGTACATATTTGTAGCTCTGCAGGTTTATTCTGTAGTTTTTCCTAATAAATGACTGTATTACTTATTTGCTAATAAATGGTTTGTTAGTATTCAGGGCTAGCAATTGTGAGGTTATGCCCCAAGAACAATAACTAAATCTGTGTTCAATTTCTTTATCTCACTTTTTATTATTACATGTATATTACAAGTTTATTAGATGGACCTACCAAAATTAGTATAGCCTCTCTCTTTTTTTTTTTTTTTTGGTACAGGGGTTCAAACTCAAGTGCTTGCCCTTCTGAGGAAGGTGGGGGAACCACTGAGCTAAATCCCTGGCCCTATCCAAAATTAGTATTAAGGATGTTTTAGGCTTTTTGTTGTTGTTGTTGTTGTTTGTTTGTTTGGTACCAAGGATCGAACTTCGGTCCTTATGCTTGTCAGGCAGGCGTGGCACCACAGAGGTAAATCCCTGGCCCATGTTTTAGGCTTTTTAAAAAAATAGAAATCACTTTATTCATCAAAATGGAATCCCTGTTTTTTGAAGGATAGTCTTCATGTCTTCTATTTAGTTTATAAGTGTTTTTAAACAAAACCCATCAATGATTGAAAATGAGGCTATTTACTCTGTGGCTTTGGTGATGAAGATTCTCTAAGAGATAATACAAGTTGAGCATTATCCAAAATGTTTTTACTAGAACTGTTTATTTCTTATTTTTAGGGATTTTGAAATATTTGCTGGTGGATGGATAGATAGATAGATACCTTGGAGACAGGACCCTAGTGTAAATATGAAATTCATTTATTTTTCATCTATATCCTTAACCCAAGGTAATTTATAAAATATTTTAAATAATTTTATGCATGAAACAAAGTTTCATTGTATGAAATTTTTTCCAGTTAGGCCATGTTGATGGTCAAAAAGTTTTAGATTTTGGATTTCAGATTTTTCAAATTAGAGATGCTGAAACTTGTATTTATCACAGTGCCTACATTTCTAGTGCCATGATGTAGATGCTCAGTAAATGTTTCTTTAAAGAATAAAAGGTAATGAAAAGATGAAAATAAAGTATTTGTAGATGGGGAGGGGAGGAGGGGGTGAAGGGAGGGCAGGGGTAAGGGGAAAAAATGAGAATCAAGACTTGTCATGTAGAGGTACAAGATCCCAACAATGAATGTAAGTGTAGTGTATCCCTAAAATGTACCAATAAACTCAATTAAAGCTGAAAAAAAAAGAATAAAAGGTAAAATGTTTTCAATCTGTGTAAATCTATAGAAGAAGCAGGAAATTCTCTCAGACATATATTTTGGGAGATCTATCAGAAGAGTATATATCTTCTGAATGTAAAAACTTAATTGTATAAACTTATCTGGGGAATATGAATCCCAAATGTATTTTTACCAAAATCTATACATTTTCTGGTTTATATTTTAGGGTAGTTTTGTCAGGGGATGAAGTGAACTTCAAAGATGAACCAGGTAAGATGAGAGCTACATTGGTTTGAAATGGTCATGTTTTTGTTTTTGTTTTTATTTTGGTACCGGGAATCAAACTCGGGTCCTTGTGCTTGCGAGGCAGGAGCCAGAACCGCTGAGCTAGATCCCCGGCCCTGAAATGGTCATGTTTTAAATGTTAGAACCATTTTTCAGTGACTGTGTTAATATCCATTCAATTTTTCAAAAACTTAAATCTGTTTCTAAGCTTGTTTTGTACACTTACTAATCTTCCTGTGTGCACCCAATTAGAGTCTAGTAGTGTTATTGGTCTTATTTAGGGAATCTGGTCATCTCAAAAATGGGTGCTTTTAAAAGCAGAAATCCATCTTACAGAGTTGTGTGATTAAGTTCCAAGTTTTTTTTTGTTGTTGTTTTTGTTTTTTTGAGACAGGGTCTCAGTATGTAGTTGAGACTGACCGGGAACTCACTATGTAGCCCAGGCTGGTCTCAAATTTACAGCAATCCTCCTGTCTCAGCCTCCCGAGTGCTGGGATTAAAGGCATGCGCCACCATACCCGGCTAGTTCCAAGTTTTCTTCATACTTAAATGTGTGCTTATTTTTAAAATAAATACACATTATATATACAGTGAACATATGTTGAATAATGGTAATGAAAAATTATACAAGTTTTGGAGCCAGAAAAACTTGAGTTTGAATTGCTTGCTGTTCTTAAACAAATCATTTATGCCTCTGTCAGTTATCTCATCTGAAATATGAGTGATTGGTACCTGCCTTACCATAAACATTAGGATTAGAGATAATATTTATAAACTACATAGCACATAGTAGGTGGCCAGTTAATGTGAGAGAGATTCTCAAATACAAATGTATGTATGTGTGTGTGTGTGTGTGTGTGTGTGTGTGTATGGCAAGAGAGAGAGATTACACTGATAAAAATCATTTAAGAAGCCATAATATTCATGAACTTATGTATCTAACAGAGCTTCAAAATATATGTGTATATGTTCAAAATGTTCATATTCATTACTGGTATATTCACATCCTGTAACCCTCAAATAGAGAACATTTTTTTAAAATCACCAAGAATATATAATAGATATTAATTTTACCATCTGTTCATATTATCTTTGAAATCTTGATGTGTGGTTAGTAATGCCTCCTTTTCAGTTCCAGATATTCATTTGTTCCTTCTCTTTTTTTCTTGATTACTCACGCTGAAGATTTATTTTATTATACTTTTAACAAACAAGTTTATGGCTTTGTTAATATTCTCTATTGAATCTTTGTTTTGTTTTATTAACTTCAGTTCTGTATTTTTTTCCCTGTACTTTGTTTTTTAAATATTTCTTTAGAACCATAATTCCCTTCAAAATTTCACTTTTCCTATATTCCACAAGTTTTTTTTTTTGATAGCCTTAATGCTGGCTATGGTGGTACATGCCTGTAGTACCCTCTAATCAGAAAGCTAAGGCAGGAGAATTGTTTCAGCATGGGAGTTCCAGGCCAGCCTGTGCAACATAACGAGACCCTCATCTAACAAAACAAAACAAGACAAAAGACTCCCAGATGGGTATGTGAGTGTAGTTTAGTGGGAGAGCTGTGTGAGGCTCTGTGTTATCTATTGTAATAAAAAAGCAGAAAACAAAAACCGATCCCCAAATTTATTTATTTTTTTTGGTACCAGGGATTGAATTTGGGACCTTGTGCTTGTGAGGCAGGCAATGGAAACACTGAGCTAAATCCCCGGTCCCCCAAACTTACTTTTATCTGGATATATTTCATATATCATAAAACTCACTCATACCAGATAAAATCAAGGGTTTTTATTTAGTACTGAGAAGTGCAACCATTTCCATAAATTAGTTTTATAACATTTGTTCCCTCAGTGAGATCCTTTACGCCTGTCTGCCATAATCCCCATTTCCATTCCAAGCCAACCACTGATCTACCTTTCTATATAAATTTTCCCTTTGGGACATTTTCTCATTCTTAAATCTATCCATCCATCCATCCACCTTTTCTTCCTTCTTTCCCTCCTTTTATCTCTCCCTCCTTCCTCTCTTCTTCCCTCCCTCCAAACCTCCCTCACCTTCGTTCCTTTTTCTTTCTTGTGGTATTGGGAATTGAACCAGGGCCTTCACACTGGGCGCTTTTAACTTTTTTGGCAGGGGTGGTGTTTTGAGACAGGGTCTCACTGTGTAGTGGGACTGACCTGGAACTCACTGTGTGGCCCAGGCTGCTCTCAAACTCACAGTGATCCTCCTGCCTCAGCCCCCACAACCCAAGTGCTGGTATTAAAGGCGTGCGCCACCATGCCTGGCCCCTTTTAACTTTTTGAGATGAGGTCTCAGTCTTCCAGAGTGGTCAGATTATGGGTGTGCACCATCATAACAAGTTTGGACATTTTATTTTTTTGGCTTTTTTTTTTTTTTTGTAGAACTGGTGATCAGACTCAGGACCTTGCACTTGTTGAGGCAGGCATGGTGCCAATGAGCTAAATCCCCAGCCCCTATTTTCTGGCTTTGTTTTAAAGAGAGTCTCTCTATGTAGTTCAGGCTGGCCTTGAACTCACTCTGTAGTCCAGGCTGGCCTCAGCCTCCTGAATCCTGGGATTACAGGTGTGTGCAATCACACCTGGCTTGGATATTTCATTTATATAGAATTATCCAATATGTGATCTTATTGTATCTAGTTTCTTTCATTTCATTTAATACTTTGAGGTTGAATCCATTGTATGACTATCTATAAATTTTGACATTTTCATTATCACTTAAATTTTAAACATTTCCATGTCTCCATTGAGTCCTGGTTGTGGTTGATTTTGAAATGTGTTTCTGAAATTGCCAAATTATAGAGATATTAAAGTTCATCTCTTTGTTATTCTTTATTTTTTGGGGGGGTACTGGGGATCGAACTCAGGTCCTTGCACCTGGCAGCACCACTGAGCTAAATCCCCGGCACTCCCTTTCCATTCTTTTTTTTTTTTTTTTTTTTTTTTTTTTTCTTAGGCAGGGTCTCATTATGTAGTGAGACTGACCTGGAACTCACTATGTAGTTCAGGCTGGCTTCAAGCTCACGGCAATCCTCCTGCCTCAGCCTCCCGAGTGCTGGGATTATAGACATGCGCCACCACGCCCGGCATCCCTTTCCATTCTTAATAACACTTTTTGGCTTAAAAATCTTTGTAAGTGTATTTATCAGCTTTCTGTTGCTGGAACAAAGTACCTAACATATACAATTTAAAAGATGAATAATTTATTTTGGTTTCATTTTAGAGGTTTTAGTCTATGGTCAGCTGGTTCCAAGAAATACCATCATCAATGGCATGGCAGAGAAAAGCTGCTCATCTTATATGGTGGTTGGAATTTGAGAAGGAGGGTGGGGAAAGAGGGAGAGAGAAGAGGGAAGAGGAGAGGGGCGAGAAAGGAGAGATATCCTTCAAAGGCATGCCTTCAGTGACTGACTCCTCCAGTTGGCCCTGTTGAGGTTAGTGCCTTCATAATCCAGTAATCTTCCAAAAGCCCCACCTAAGAACACATGCCTTTGAGGGAACATTTTTGATGCAAACCCTAGGAGTATGATAATGTAGCTTAACTCTGTTTTTTTGGTTATTCCTTATACACCTTTTTCCATATGTTTACTTTCAACTTTCCAATTTGTTATATCTTTCTTAGATAAGTTTCTCATAAATTTGTAATGTGCCAATTATTAAATTTTCTTTTTAAGACAGGGTCTCGCTACGTTGTTCAGGATGGCTTTGAACTTACTATGTAGCCCAACCTGGCCTCAAGTTCACGGTGATCTTCCTGCCTCAGCCTCCCAAGTGCTGGGATTACAGGCATGCATCACCATGTCTTGCTTTTAACTATTTTAATTAATGAGCTTAGTCCATTTATTTTTATTGTCACTATGTATATTTGAACTTGTGTTTTTTTCTATTTTATCCTTTCACTCCTATCTTTTCTCCTATGGTATGGACTTACTCTTTCAGGTTTTGAGTTTTTTTGGCGGGGGGCTTTATTTGTTTTTACTTTTCTTAGTCCTTTATTTTTCTCATGAACTGGTTTGGAAGTTATATATTTTATTTTTACTTTTGGTAGTTTTTCCCTTAAGTTTTATTCTGTCTACTTAATAAAATCAAAAGCTTATCAATTCATATTCCCAGAAGATTATAAAGATTGTAAAACATGGGCCAGGGATTTAGCTCAGTGGTTCTGCCGCCTGCCTCACAAGCACAAGCACCCGAGTTCGAGTCCCAGTACAAAAAAAAAAAAAAGATTGTAAAACACTAATCCCAGTAATTCTCATGCTAGCTCAACTATTATTGTCTAATATTTCTTTTGTCTCTTTTTCTAATTTCTCACAGAACATTCTTTATGAAGAAATACTATTTAGATTTACCAATATTTCTCCTCTCTTGCTGCTTCTTCTTGTATTTTAGATCTATATTATGAGCTTATTTTTCTTTTTCCTTAACTACATGCTTTAATTTAGAAGTTCTCATGGAAGATTTTTTTGGAGGGTAAACTTGGCTTATGTATATCTAGAAATACTGTTATTTCTCATTTTTGATTTTGTTTTTGTTTTTTGTTTTGGTTTTTTTTGGTACTGGGGATCGAAGTTGGGACCTTGAACTTGCCAGGCAGGTGGTGGCACCACTGAGCTAAATCCCCAGCCTTGTTATTTCTCATTTTTAAGAGAGCTTTGCTCAACACCACATTTGCTTGCTATTTATTTTCTTTCATCACTTTGAAAATATGGTTCCATTATTTTCTTCCTTCCACAATTGCTGTTGAGGAAAACAGTCTGTTAGAATAAATATTATTCCTTTATAGTGAATTTGATTTTTCTATCTGGCTACCTTTAGGATGTACTCTTTATTTTTGGTGTTTTGTTCTTTCAGTATATATTTGTTGGAGACAAGTAATTTTGCTGTTTTAATCTGTACTGTGTAGATTGTGTTTTTTTAAATAATATTTTCTTTGTGTTTTATTTTTAATTTTATTGGTCCATTTTAGGT